CTCCTGCCTCCAGCCCTTCTCCCCGCCCGAGCCCCCCCCACCAGGGCCACTGGCTCTCCGCAGGCCTCTGCGTGTCCCCTCCTGTCAGGGTTTGCCACCAGCCTCGGAGCCAGCACATTATCCTTCTGAGCCTCTGTTTCCTCATCCGTAACACGGCAGCAATGGACCCAACTGTTTTGGCCTTGTTTTCTTAATCAGACAGGCTCCCCTCGTCCACCGGCAGCTTTAATAAGGTGTGATACATATGCAATAAAATCCACCAACTTAAATGTAAGTTTGCTGATTTCTGACAGATGTATGCCGTTGTTTAACGACCACCACAAAAATCACACAGAGCATTTCATTTCACTCTCATTCCCTCCACGCCCCTGTGCGGTTCGTCCCCTCGCTCGCAGCACCTGCTGCCCTGCTTCGGCGGCTTCAGCACTGCCCCTCCCAGAGCAGCGCACCCGGGAGCCACGCTGGGTGCCGCCTTCTGAGCCTGGCCCCCGGGGCTTGGCACGTGCGTCCGACGCTCGCCCACAGCGCTGCCTGTGTCTGTAGTTCCGTTCTTTTTTGCTGCTGAGTAGTATGCCATTGATCAATGTGTCAATTTATTCTTCCACTCTCAATTTCATGGACTTTTTAGTTCTTTGTTTTAGTTATAATGACTAAATCTATAAATATTTGCATACAGGGTTTTGGTGTTTTTTTTTTGGTGTGTGTAAGTGTAGGTTTTTATTTCTCCAGGGAGTGGCAGGCCTGGGTTGTAGGTAGGTTCACGTTTAGTTTTATAAGAGGCCGCCAAGCTGCTCGCCCGGCTGTCTGTGCACTCGGCCTTCCCGCCAGCGACGTGTGTATGGAGTCCTTCTCTGACACCCTGTGCAATGCTTGGAATTGTCAGTCTTTTATTTTTTAGCTCGTTCTGCTCAGAGGGCAGCAGAATCTCGTCGTGGCTTTAGCTGCGCTCCCCTGAAGACTGGTGACGTCAAGCTTGTTTGCCATCCGTGTTATCTCCCTTGGTAAGATGTCTGTCTGTTAAGGTCTTTTGCATATTTTAAAAAATTGGGTTGTTTGCTTCCTTATGATTGAGTTGGAGGAATTCTTTGTATTCCAGGTATAAGTTCTTTATAGAGAAGTATTTTGCAAATATTTTCTCTCCGGCTTGTTTTGAGGGTTAAATAACATAATAAACATTCAGTAAATGGGTACTCTTATCATTATGACTCTTATTACTACTGCTATTTTATGACTCTGTTTTGTCATGTGCCTAGAAAAAGACCTCACGCCTCTCCGCACTGGCCAGGGGAGGCTCCCTGCAGCAACCCCCGCTCTGAGCCCCTCTGCCGAGACTCCCTGAGGCAGACCCAGCCTGGCTGGAGCCCAGGACGTCTGTGCTGTTCGTTGTTGATGCTGCAACAGTCATTTATCAGACCCAACCAGCTGGCCTCAGCTGCTTGGCTGGGCCCAGGGGAGGCTTTGGCGGGGGCCCTGCCCTCCCTGCCCGGCCCTGCCCACGGGGCAAAGCCACCGCCCCCCCGCCCCCGCCCCCGCCATCTCCTGGCCCTCAGCATGGCTCCTGAGGCTGAGTGTGCACAGGCATGTCCCTGCCTTGGACCTCGCTGCACACCCAGTGTCTGATTCCCCTTTGCCAGATGGTGCCGCTGAGGCCTGAAGAGGTCACATGGCCACCCAGAGCCCCAGAGCCCAGCAGGGGCGGCACGGGTTTTCTTGCACTGACATTGCCATTGGCTCACATCCTCCTTCAGCAAACATTCGCCCAGTTTGCACCTATCGCCAGGCTGAGTAGAAAACAGCCGGAGGCAAACTGACTAGTAGGTGCCCAGCACAGGGCTCCGCATGAATTATCTCCCTCGAGGCAGCAGCTCTTATGTTCTGTTTTACAGATGAGGAAACTGAGGCTTGGAGAGACCCAGTGACTCCCTCAATAAATTAGTGGCACACAGGGTTGAACCCTAGGCATGCTGTCCTCTCAGCCTGAGAGCTTGACTGCTGGGCCAGACTCCCGGTCCCTGTGCCTTCGGGGAGACCTGCCCCGGGCTGCGCGGCCTGCCCAGGGGGTGCCCAGGCCCGGTCCGTGCGCGTCCCCCCGGACCACCGCCGCAGCTTCTGAAGTCGGCTGTGTTGTTCCCCTCTCAACCCTCGTTCCCCCTCCCTTCAAACTCATTATGGCTGCCCATCTCTGCGCCCTCGTCCACGAGGCAGTACTGCTCCTTGGGCTCCCCTCCGCACTCAGGCATCGCCCTGTCCTGTAAGGTCTCCCCAGTGGACTCCTGTGGACCCCGTCTGCCGGGGCTGGCTGTGCGGGGGTGACACGGTGAGATCTGCTCACACTCTGCCCCAGCCACCCCCCCGGGGTCGTCTTTTCCAGGCGCATGTGCACGTGTGGGGAGTCACGTCTGCTTGAGGATATGCATTGCAAATACAAAAGCCTTGAAGGCCTACCAGCATGGGGACCGGCGAAGTGCATCGTGGGAGTCACCTGGTGGCTACTTTGCAGAGGCAAAAAGAATGAGGCCGCTCTCCATACTCTGAAATGGAAGGACACTGACCTATGGGGGGTGGAGTCGCAGAGACGTGGAGAATCGTGAGAAAAGAACAGATGTTGCCTCGTCCTTGCAAGGACACACAAGGGGCTGAGTCCTGGAAGGGCACCCAGGCGGCAGGGGGACACAGATGGAGACACCTTTCACTCTGTGCCTTGTCACTTTCTGAATTTGAAATGAAATTTTCCCCTTCTCTGGGAGGCCACCTCTGATTCGCCACCTGAGGTGGCCCAGCCATGGTGTTGTTTTGAGTCATCCCGGGGCCCTGCCCTTTTCTAAATCTGGCTGCCCCAGGAGTAGTGGGGAGGTGCCTCCTCCCCGCCCTTCCCCTGGGTGTCTTTGGGTCTGGCTGAACCCCCCAGAGGGAAGGGCCAGGCTGAGGCTTGTCTCCCGGCGGAGCTCAAGGCCCTAGCAGGCCCCCGAGGCGGCACAGGCCCAGAGGCCTCTTCGCAGCCCAGCCTCGTGCAGTTCTCTGTGCCAGGCACATTCTCATCCTCGCCCCCTCTGTAAAGTAAATGCCCATTAAACCCCCACTTTACAGAAGAGGCGACTGAGGCTCAGAGCAGTTATGAAACCCCGTAACTCCCTGGTGTCACACATGGAAGTGGCGGAGCCAGGGTCCCACCCCAGGGGTGCTTGTGGCCTGTTGTAGGAGGCCCTGCAGCTGGAGCGGCGTCCTCGTGCCCTGGGAGACTGGGGACCCAAAGATGCATCAGGCCTGGGCCCTCAGGCTCCCCCCGAACATGATGGGGCCAGCACAGGGTTTTCGAGAGCCCAGAGAAGGCAACGGTAATCCCACCTGCAGCGGGGGCGCTGGCGAGGTGGTGCTGGCTCTCAGCGTGGAAGGACTGGGTGGCCACGAAGCCCTGCGGCTCCGCGTGTCCCCGCCACGCTCACCTCCTTCGCTCCCGAGCTTGCTGCCCCCCTGCTTTTCTCTTTGCGGCTGGCACCCTCCTCCGGTGCCAGAGGAGGCTCCGGGCCTCCGCATCACCCCGGCCTGCTCCCCCGCCGCCAGCCCGCTTTCACCAGCCGCTAAGGCCTCTGGGTCTGTCCCACACCCCGCCCCCGCCTCCCATCCCTGCCCTGTCCCACTGGACTTGCTCCGGCCCCCACACTGGGGGAGGAGCTCCCTGCCCGGGTCCCGGCCCTAGGAGACATGCTGACAAACCGGAAAGTGTGGCAGGTGGCTCTGTGGAAGGTCACTGTCCACCATCCATCGCAGAAGGGGTGTGGAGGTTTGACGTAGTGGCTGTGCGTTCTCTGCCATTCCTCCCATTTTGAGGCGGGGGTCTATGTTGCCTCCCCTTTAAACTGGGTGGTCTGCTTCAACCAACAGAGTAAGGCAGAGTGACAAAGGGCGACTTCTAACATTCCATCACAAAGGGCCAGCCAGCTTCTGCTGCTTCTCTTAGGCTGTTTGTGCTGGTGTCCGCCTGTGGCGCTGCGAGGAAGCCCGGCCAGGGGCAGAGGCTGTGTGCAGGTGCCCCCCGCCCCCGCCATCCCAGCCGGCTCCGCGCCAACTCCTCCCAACCCGGGTGCAGATGTGGAAGGGCAGGGTCTGCGATGAATGTGGCTGGAGTCCCAGACATGGGACAGAGGCAGGCTACCGCTGCTATGCCCTGAGCATCATAAAATAGTTGTGTTTGGGAAAAGGGGTTGTAATGAGGCAGGAGGAAAGCAGGTGTGGGATTCTGTGACTTTCCCCATCTGGGATCATCACTGCTTTCTCAACACATACCTGCTGTGGCCTGTGAGGGGCTGGCTTGGAGCTCGGCCCAGGGTCAAACCCTCTCCTGCGAGAAAATGGGGCTGGATTAGAATCAAGGAATGTTGGCGGTGACCCTCTGCTCCCTCCAAATCACTATACACACTCAGACCCTGGCACCACTGGACTCGGGAGCCTTGGGTCACTGGATGGTGCCAAGTCCCATGAGGATCTCAATGTGGGTAATCCAGGAAGTCTGCATGTAAGAGGTAGGATTTGTGTTGTAAAGAACAGGCAGAATTAAAAATAACCACGGTGTTTGTTTACATTTAAAATATTTAATGAACATTCATTGCATTAATTGACATTATTAACATTAAAATACTATATAGTTAATATATATTAAAAATAACGCATGGAGCTTGCAGAAATATTGGACAGAAAAAGCATAAAGAAGATAAACACATTTTTTGTAATATCAATGCCCAGATATCACATTGCTGACCTGTTGGAGTATTTCCTACATTTCTACTCTGCACCTTGGACCAGGCTGCAACTTTTAACACACTTTCTCGATGGCTCAAGGCAGAAACCAGATGGCAGACAGAAGAGTGCCCACTGGTCACACACGAGCTCATGGTTCGGGCCTGTGGCGTCCCAGGGCCTGGTGCGGGCCTGGCGCTCTCCTCCTGGCCCCCTGCGCAGCCCCCAAGGACCACAGCGGCGCAGCAGTCCCCCGCCACGGCCCCAGTCCCCGGTCCCTCACAGAACATCCCCAAGGGGGCGCGCCTCGGCGAGCGCAGGGCCGAACGCCCTTCCGGCCGCTCCCTGGCTTGCAAACCTGCAAGCACAGTGGCCTCTGCACACTAAAGGGTCGAAGGGCCTCGCGAAGCGAGGGGCAGCGAACAGTTACTGAGATCGACGAGAACAGCGACTGCGGACGCTCGGATTCAGGCAGAAGTCCACCCAGTGTTCTGCTCAGGAGAGAAAGGCGAGGCGTGTCTGTGAGAAAGGGAAGGGGGACAATGACCTCAACAGAAAGAAGACAAATGATGTTAGTTCTAACCTGTGGTTTTCATTTTCAGTCATCAGCCCAGCAGTCATCGTAACTGCTTTCTTGTCCTTGTAAACGGTTCTTCAGGACCCCGTGTTGCTTCGGCCGCGTCCAAAGGTTGCTTTGCCCTGTTTCAACCTTCCAGGCTCTCAGGCAGGTGTTGCAAGGCAGCTCCTCGGCGTGGCAGCTCCGGCTCCATTGGAAGGCGGCTGTTCCCATTATTGGAAATCTATGCTCGGGAGAGCAAAGGAAGCCCCTTGTCTAAGTGAGCCCGGCACAGCCCGGGACAGCCCGGCACAGCCTGGGACAGCCCGGCCGCGAGACGCCGCTCCGAGCGCCGGGAGCCGGGAGCCGGGGGCGGGGATGAATCCCTCCGCCGGCCGCCGCCAGCGTTCCCGGCAGCCCGCCGGCCCCGGGGGACAGTCTTCTTTCCACTCCGGGATGCCTGCCGCTTCCCAAGGTCAACCTCTTGGGCGCCCCGACGGTCTGGGAAAGACCGTGTGGGCGCAGGGGCGGCCGAGCGCTCGTGGAGCAGGCGGGGTGGCCGCCGCGGCGCAGCCTCCCGGCCCCGGCTTCCGGCGGCAGCTGCGCCCCGCGGGCCCCCGGGGCCGTCCTTTGAGAAGACAGGGCGTCCTCTGCTCCGGGGGCTGGGAAACGGCCGTGAAAACATTCATGAAAACGACGAGGGCTGGCGCGCGTGTGGAGGAACGGGGAACGCGGCCTGGCGCGGCCGCGGCGGGAACAGTAGGGAGTATCCTCCAAACATGAAAAACGGGGTCCCCTCTGGCCCAGCGATCCCACTTCTGGGAACCCATCCAAAGAACCCGCAGACACTGATCTGGAAGACCACACGCCCCCGCGTTCCTTGCAGCGTCCTTTACAGTCGCCCAGACCCGGGCGCAGCCGCGGGTCCCTCAGGAGCTGAGCGGGTGGCGCGGGCGCTGCGGGGCGCCTCCCACCGCGCGGACGCCCTCGTTTCTGTGGGCCGGCCGCGTTGGACCTGCAGGGCGTGGCGTGGAGTGAAATAAGCCAGCCAGGGAGAGGCAGATTCCATATTATTTCTCTTATATGTGGATTCTAAAGAGCGAACTAAACAAAAACCAAAATGCAAACAGGCTCGTAGACACGGGAAGCAGACGGGTGGCGACCAGAGAGCGGAGGGGGCGGCGGCCCGAGGGAGGCGCCGGGAGGAGGCCCCGCCCGGCGGCGCCGGCACAGCGCCGCGGCCTCCAACGCAGGTCGGGCCCCCGCGGGCGGCCCGGAGGACGCTGCGAGCGCCGCGGCCCAGGCCCTGGCGGCGGATGGACACGCGCGCCCACGCCGCGCGGGGCGTCCCGCGGTTTCTGACCGAAAACCGGGGGACCCTCTGCCCCGCCCTTCTTATTCACCCCATCTCACTGAGTGACTTTTTTTTGTTTCCCTGGAGGAAAAAAGTCCTCAAAGGGAAACGTTTTGCCCCGTGAAAGAGGTGAAACAAACAAATGAAAATGGCAGAAGCACTAACAGGCATCGAAATCTCAAAATCAACGAGTTCAAAACTATTTTGAGCGGCGGAAAAACCTCTCCACAGGTGCCTCGCATCCAGTGGGGAGGACCTGGCGGGCGACGGAAGTTTAAACGGGCACACTCCCGGGGTGGTTTTGGTCCCGCCTCCCGGGGGGCCAGGCGGGTGCCGGGACACCCGGGCGGCGGCGGAGGCGCTCCGCGCAGGGGCCCCCAGCCTTCCGGGCCCCAGGGGTGCTGCCGTGGGGGCGTGTGCTGCCCCGCGGCGGCCGGCTTTGCCGGGTCCAAGCGCAGCGCCGCCGGCTGCCCGGCTGGGCGCGTCCCTACCGGGCCCGGCGGTGCCCTCCGCCTGCGGAGGTTGAGGACGTCGGCTGCAAAGCATATCCTCGTCTAAACAATATGCTGTAAACCTGAAACTAATACAAAACAATGACTGTAGACTGTAACTGAAAAATCAAAATTTTAAAACCTGACATTGTTCTGTTGAAAAGCGCTCACCTCAGAGCTCCGCGTAGCCCCGAGGTACCCGCGGGAGCGACCTGGGGCGTGGCTTCCGGCTGCGCGGCCGCAGGCCCCGCCCTCCCGGCCGCCCCTTCGGGAGGCTGCGGACCGGAGGTCGCGCCCCGCCGAGGCGGGGCAAGTAGCCGGGCCGGCCAGCCCCCGGGGGCAGAGGCCTGCCGCGTGCCCGCGGGCAGTGCATCACGTGACCAGGCGCCGCCAATAGGCTCCCTTCGGCGCCGCGCGGAAAGCAGGCCAGAGGGCAGACCCAGCTCTGCGGCGCCGTGCGGCGGGCGCGGGGCGCGGGGCGCGGGGCGGGGGACGCGGCGGCCATCCGCGTAGCTCTGGGGAGTGACTTGTGCTTTTTTTTTTTCTTGGGTGTGCGCCTGGAAGGCTGGAGAATCCCCGAATGACTCAAGATCCTCTAAATATGTTCCACTACTTTGTCCTGACGACCTCTTAACCTCCTGTCCTTCCACTCCTCTACTCGCCTCCTGCTTGTGCTCTAGGCACGCTGGCCTTTTAGTTTTTCCTTGAAGTTTACTTTTTAATTTTATTGAAGTAATGCATGCGCACAATGCTCAAAGTCAAACAACACTACGGGACTTATAAGAACAATAACAGAGCATCAGCTGCTTGCTCACACCCTGGAAAAAGAAATTGAACATGTACTGGGTACCAGGCTGTTTAGGCACTGAGAATACACCGGTGAATCACACGGATCAAGACCCTACCCTCCCACAGCTGCTATGCTAGTGTAACTGCCTCCAACCCTTTTAGTTCTTCCTTCCGTATTTCTCAGTCACGTGCTTATATTGCTACTCCTTTTCTTTCTTGCTTTTCAACTTGAGACAGTATCTGACGGCTTCCTGCTACAGAAGGTGAGGCTTTAGTCCTCTTACCTGTGGATCCATTGCGCTTCTCCCTCACGTGCCTACCCTCATGCCTCACGTTTTGGATACATCAGCATTTGGTGTTTACAATGTAATGGTTATGTAAACATTGTTTCCAGCTGAGCTGTTTAGTACTTTGAAGCTACATTTTATATTTTGTGTTATTTTTTCAAGAGTTAATCATTGCCTTGTTTTCTTTTTGCATCAAGCTGGGCATTCCAGGAACCCTTTCAACTCAGAGGCTCATGGCCTTTGGGTCTGAGAAGGTGTAAGACTTGTCCCCGCTCTCCTTACAAAGCCTTAATTCATTTTGTTTACGCCCTCACCTGCTCCTCCACGTCCAGAGGAACCTGTGCCTCTCAGGCTGAGTGTTTCCAGGGGGCTGGTCACGTTGGTGGTCTGGCCTCAGAATGGCTCTGCACACTTTGCTTTCACCTTCCTCTATTCTGTCAAGTTGGTTACCATTTTATATGCATTTTCCAGCTTTGAAAATTTTGTAGGTTCCTCTTGTCCCTGTCATTGACTTTCCTGTTCTCTTTACCTTTGTGAGTTTGTGCCTTAATGTTTTAAAATTTTAATGTCATTTGATAGAAAGTAGGTTGACAGCTTTGGGCAGGGGTGGCTGGTTGGGTGGCAGGATCTAGCAAAAAGAAAAAAGAAAAAGAAAAGAAAATACTTGTGAACACAGACAACAGTGTGGTAATTGTGGGGATTAGAGGGGTGGGTGGAGGTGGGCAAGGGTATAAAGGGGATAAATGATAATGGAAAAATATGATAAAAAATAAACAATTTAAAAAAGATAAATAAAAGTTTACTGTCATTTTATTGGGGGTGTGGGAGGGAAGGGAGAAAAATAGCCTTATTCAGTTCATGGTTAATTAGAAGTCCTCCTCAGCTTCTCTCTGTGTGCCTTTTGTGTGCCATGGGCATTTTAAGTCCGTCCGTGCCCCAAGTTCACAGGGCTTTCCTTCTCACCCAAGTCTGAGCTCAGAGAACATTTCTTCCGGCAAGGCCTCCTTAACTGCCGTCTTGTAGAGCCACCCAGGGCCTCTCTCCCACATCACCCTTCTTGACTTTTGTTCATAGGCCTTATCACTATTTGAAAAAAAGTTTTAATATATTTACTTCCGTTGATGTATTTGCCTTTTTCTCAATCTCCCCCAGAAGTTATGCTCCATGAAGGCAGGAACTGTGTATGTCTTGTTCTTCACTGTCCCCTCCGCCCTCAACACGGTGTCAGGCAAAAATAGACGCTCAAGGATTCATGTTGGCTGGCTGGCTGGATTTGAGCTTGGGATCTCTAAGAGACAAGCTTCAGCATAACATAAGGAAGAAGCTGGCCGTGGCCAGAGTTTCCAGGGAGGGGAAGACGCTGTGGGTAAGAGGGCGAGGCCTCATCGTGGGAGGCCTGCAAACCCAGGTGTGCGGTGGCTGAAGGGAGCAGAAACACTGATGAAAATGGATGTGGTGACTCACAAGTCCTGGAAGAGACAAGCGTTGCCTCAAGGTCACTCGGCTACTTCCTGGGGGACCAAGGACTTCCCTCAGATTCGAAAGCAGCCCTTTGCAGGCAGATGTTGTGATTCACCCAGGTCCTGGGGTCAGCCTGGTCCACATGCAGTTCGACCTCTCCTCGCCCTGGTCGTGTGACCTTGGGCAGGTTGCTCGTCTCTGCGTTTGAAGTGCTTGTGCCCCACACCATGACTTCCTCAACAGCTCTGAGGTCCTGCCTGATGTGCCGCGGGTTGTTTCAATCCCTGGTTAAATCCACGATTGACCCTTCCTTGCCGTGGGACCTGGGCAAGCTGCTTGCAGCTGTGGGCCTTCGTGTGCTTGTCTGTGAGATGAAGCTGTAACCTCGCTGGCCTCATCAGACTTAGAGTGCAACAGGCATCAGTCGGGGCCTGCACCTATCTCCTGGGCAGAAAGCGCCCTGTGTGAGGGCTGGGCCAGGATGGGCAGGTCTGCGCTGGGCTCCCAGCTGCTTGTGCAACTCTGCCAGGCGCGAGGCAAGGCAGGCGTGAGGCTCCGTCAGAGGCAGAGAGCTTGGCATCCTTCCAGAAAGCAGCTGTGTTTTGTTCAGAGGAAGGGTGTTACAAACTATTGCAATGGACGGTGGTATAGGAAAGGGCAGGGAGCATTATGTCCATCTGAGCGTTTCCACAACAGCTCTGTTGTTACCAGTGGCTTCTGGCGCCTCTCTCAGCCTCGGCTCTCCCATCTGTTTCTCACCTTGCTGGGCTGAGGTGAGCCTCCCTCCGTTCTGCAGCTGTTCACTGAGCGCCTGCTATGTGCTGGGGAGACCTCAGCGACCAGAGCACAGTCCGTGCTCCCGTGCAGCTTGCATTGAGTGAGTCTGCGAGACGATGTGCTTTGAGGAATGGGCTCATAGTAGGTGCTCTAAAAATGGTACTTGCTGTTGTGCTAGTGGAAACATCTAACTTGTATGAATTCACCATTTGAAACTTGAGAGAGGTGACAGTTTGAATAGAGCAAGTGAGCCCTGCCCTCCCCTGCAGTTTCCCTTGCATGTGCTGTAACTTCAGAGCCTGACCCTGGGTAAGAGGCCCCTGCTTCCCTCCGGCTCTGCAAGGGCGGTTCCTGACTGGCCCAGAGCACCGCCTGCAGCCAGCCCGAGGCGGGGCCGGAGGGACCGCCCCGGCCCCTGCCTCGGAGCAGCATGGGTCTGATGGAGAGACTGATGGGGATGCGGCTGCTGGCAGAGCTGGGGTTCCTGATAAGAGGGGCCGGGGTGGGGGCTCTTAGGGACGGCTGTTCCAGGGAGAGTCTCCCCTCCGGGTTTCAAAACTGGTCCTTCTCAGTGGGGGCAGAAATGAGTCAGGTGGAGAAGGCAGGGAAGGGCATTCCCGGCTGTGGGAACAGCCTTTGCAAAGTAAAGTCAGGGAGGAGAGCATGGGTTGGGAGCGGCTGGACTGGGGAGGTGCTGGGGTGGCTCCCCACTTAGGGAGCCTTGGCAGGTTTTGGAGCCCGGCCAGCCCTGTACTCTTGAAGGCTGTCTCGGGTTGCAGTGCGGAGGACCCCGGGGCAGGAAGCACAGAGGAGCAGGAGGAGCGGAGAGGGGCGCTGCCGCTGCCCCTGGCCAGCACCATGCCACGATGGCCACCAGAGGGCGCAGTGGGCCAACAGGGGAGGGAGATGTGTGGGTGCAGCTGTGCCTGTGGATTGCGTCTGTGAATGTAGCTGAGCCTGAGGCCACTCCACGTGCTTGTAAATGCTTGTGCAGCTCGTCGTGTTCATGAGTGTGTACATATGTATTTGGGGTGTGAACTTACACAGGTTTAGAAGGGGTCATGTGGGGTTGGGACTGCGCAAGGCGTGTGAAAGGGTGCGCACACAGGTGCGACCAGGGCCCGGCCTCTCCCACTGCTCCGGCCGCGCGGTCATGCCAGCCAGCCGTCCATCCCAGGGCCTTGGCCCGCGCCGTCCCCTCTGCCTGGCCTGTGTGCCTCCAGACAGCCTCGTGAGCCCTTCCGCAGGTCTAGGCTTGCACCGCTTTCCAGTGAGGCTTTTTCTGCCCTCCCTCTTTAAAGTTACAGGCCCAACGCCAGACGTACTCCGTGTCCCCTCCTCTCCTTTCTGCAGAGTGACTGTCACCCTCCCCCTGAGGGCCGGGTTGTGCTGGCCTCACTCCGTGTTGCGCCTTCTGTGCTGGGCGCACTGCAAGGGCTCCACACGCAGTTGTCAAACAAACGGAAGAATGAACGAGCTTTTCTGACCCTGGGCTCAGACTACCCCCTCTCCAGCCCTCTGACACCCCAGGTCCTGCCCATCTCGAGTCACACCCACATCATGACCTTGGCCACATCCTTTTCCACCCATGCCTCAGTTTCCCTGAGTTTACAGAAAGAGATGTTTGGAACTTTTCTTCTAGGAATCAGGGTAAGAGGCAGCCTGTCGTGACCCCGTGAAATGCCCCTCCGGGTTGGTGAGTGATGGAGGAGTTCCGCAGCCTCACTGGGCTACTAAGGAGCGGCGGGAGGCCAGCAGATGTCGCTGTGACCAGCTTGAAAGAGAAAAAGCAGCTCTCGGGTGGTGCTCCCTCCCCCAGCAGCAAGGGGGCTGCGCGCAGCCTGGCCCTCCTGTGTGGCCCTTTCGTGCCTTCAGCTTTTTCCAGGGAGGCTCTTTCTTGCTTCCCTGCCTGACAAGCTCCTACCGATCCTTAAAGGTCCAGCCTCAAAGTCACCTCCTCTCAGGAGCCTTCCCTGACCTCACCCAGGTAGTCTGGCACCTTCCTGGGACTCTTGGTCATATGTGTATTTATAGCGCCCCACACGGAGTTTTGTAATTCTTGGGCTGTCTGTCAGACTCCCTGAGTAACCTTGGTGCCTCCTCCATCTGGAGGGCCTGAGTCATGTGAGCATCTGGGAAGCAGCACTGGGCCAGAAGCGTTTTACCGATGTCTGTGGCATGCTTTCTGTTCTTCCTTTGTTGACTCCTCAAATATTTATTAGAAACCTACTATGTGCTAGGCCCTGAGCTGTGCATCAGGAATACAGCAGGGAATGAGTTGGCAAGATTCCTGCCCAGGAGGGGCCGACAGTCTACAGGGAGAGACAGGTTAAAACAAGTATATAAGAAGGGCACCGGTAGCATGAGTGCAGTGAAGAGAATTAAAGCTGATCTGGGGCAGGACTGGGAAGGCCTCGTAGGAGAGTTCATTGAAGAGGGGGCCTGCAGAATGACAGGGGGCCAGCCCCAGGAATTGCGGTGCGAGGGTAGGGGAGGTGTTTTAGGCAGAGGGAGCAGCAGGGAGCAGAGGCCCTGCGGCAGGATCAGTATTGGCATGTTCAAGGGGTAGCGCCGGGGCTCTTGCACACGGTGAGGAGCAGAAACGGGCGGGGGACGACATGGGAGGAACAGAAGTCCAAGCTGCCAGCAAGGGCCTGAACCCAGAAAACCTACTGGGTCCACCTTGTAGACCTGGTAGGGAGGTAGTTGCAGCTGGGTGACCATTTTCAGATGGGTAAGCAGCAGGTCCTGAGGGGAAATGACTAGCCCAAGGTCACATGGTCCGTTTGGGACAGAGCGCTTTGGGCCACTCCAGACACCCAGGACTGGTAAGGCCAGCCACTTCCTGTAGGAGGGGCCCCCACTGTGTTTACAAACACTTTCTGGGCATTCAGTGAGTGCCAGGCCTTGAGGCAGGCAATTCCAAGCCTGAACTCTGAACTGACTTTGGAGAGGCCTTTGTTGTCCCTGATGGAGCTGTTCAGTGACTTTTAGTAAGAGGCAGAGTTGACATCCGAACCTATACCTGTGTGAGCCCACAGCTCATGACTTGCTGCCCACTGCCTGGCACCTTCCTGGGAAGCATGAGACACAGGAAGAGAATAATGATGGTTATCAGTTCTCCCCCGCTTATCTCATCTGGACCTCCCAGCACCGTATGGGCGCGGCCCAGCAGGGATCACCCCTGTTTTACTAATGGGCAAGCAGAGGTCAGCACCCCTGCTCCAAGCGTTTCTTGCAGGTGGTGGAATCTGCTTCCATCATGTGAGGCGCCTGGCAGGTCACACACTCATGTCTGCCCTGAGGCAAAGGGCTGACCCCTTGGCCTTGGCCAGGTGCTTCCCACCCTCACTAGACAGTAGCTTTCAATCTAGTCACCTGATCCCAGCACCAGATTGACCAGTGGCTCCTTAAACCCAGCAAGGCTCCATGTGGGAGCAGAAGGGGGAATGGCCCATCTGGTGGTTATACAGATGAGCAGTCTGAGACCCCAGAGGAGAGGAGGGAACCAAAGGCCCAGGAGACAGGCAGGCTGAGTTTTTGTCCAGGCTTGCAGACTGGAGTGAAATGCATTGAAACACTATCTTACTCCGAGACTCAGTTTCCCCATATGTAGAATGGGAGGGACACAACCATAAAAGCTACATTTACCGGCTTCCACCTAGGTACCACCAAGTTCACCACTCTATCCCCACTGTTCACAGTGCCCGATGCAGAGCGGGCACTCAATGGCTGTTTGCTGAAGCAGGGAATGGATGCGCGCTTGCTGGGCTTGTGCTTAGCCCTTTACAGTGTTAAGCCAAACGTTTACTGTGCCCTCCAAGGCCCGGTGCCATTCTCATCAGCAGCGCCAAGAAGCGGTGAGGCTCGCTCTTTTACAGAGGCGAAAACTGAGGCTCAGAGGTTACCTGACTTGCTAAGGTCACCCCCTCTAGAAAGCAGCCGAGTCGGGATCTGAAGCCCGGGGCGCGCTTCTAACGTCCCCGCAGCACTCTACCTTTCTGCTTCCCAGGGCCCCAACTGGGCCACCCTAGAAGGTCTGGGTTTCTTTCAGACTACGCACCGGGGCGGGCCCACAAAGCGCCCTGCTGGGGCGCAGCGGGCCGGGGACCTGCGGGGGCCTGGCTGAATTCGTGGGTGTGAGCCGGGCTTGAGTCCGGGAGGGACGGGGTTCTCGCCCGGGAGGGGGCGGAGCCTGACTGGGCCCGGGTTTCCCGGGTGGCCTGCGGCTTGACAGTGGGAGGAGTGGGGTCTGGGCCAGCAAGGGGCGAGGCTTGTGCTTGACAGGCAAGGCCAGGCAGGCGTTTGATAGGCAAGGGACGGGCCCCGGAGACTGGCGGGCCAATGGGCGTGCGGGGGCGGGGCCTGCGCCAGCGCCTTCCGACCGGTCCCCGCGGCGCTGCACAGTTTGGCTCCCGCGCCGCCCGTCGCGGACTCGTCCTTGCCGCTGCCGCTGCGTCTCCGTCCGCCTCTGCTCCTGGGCCGCACCCGGGCCGCCAGACCGCAGCCATGAGCGTGCTCCGTCCGGATCGAGCCCGCTGCCCTCTAGATTAGTTGCCACTGTCCCCGGACCCGCCTGCACGATGGAATCCCCCGCCTCAAGCCAACCTGCTGGCATACCCCAGTCCAAAGGTAGGAGCGGTCGGCCGGGACGGCGGCTGGACTCGCGTGCCCCTCCCGGGCCCGGGCGGCGACCCCCGTACTCTGTGTGATCCCTGGGTGACCCCAGGCCGACCCGGGTAGAACCCCGGCCCCCTGCGGGTCCCACCCTGGGACCTCACCTACACCCCGATTTAGGCCCCGGCTCTGCACCCAGGCCCAGACTCAGGCAAGGATCGCGACCTGATCAACCCTCCCTAGGTCGGGAACTCTGACCTCCTTTAGGCCGGAACTGCACCCTGGACAGGAACTCCCCCAATCTGGCCCCTCAGCTGAATCCAGGTGGGATCCACTCTGGTCTGTGCACAGCCGCCCTTCCACTCCTGGGTCCCAGCCTGTATCCAGGCTGGGATTCGACTGATTCCCCTTCTGGGCCCCAGCGGGGCTCCCTTGCCGGGGATCTCACTGTATCTGCTCCACGCGCGCACCCTCGCCCCGTGAGTTGCCCTGGCTATACTTCAGCCCGGAACCCCCGGTCCTCCTCTTCCCCAGCTCTCGCCATCCTTGTAGGCCCCCATGGTCCCGTCCCTGGCTGTCGTGCATCCCGTCCCGCATCCCTGGGACCTCCCTTGTCTTCCCACGCTCCCTAACGCACAATCCCTTCTCCATCGGCTCCTCCGTGTCATGACTTGCATGCCTCTCTCTGCACCGGGGAACTGGGGAGCTAACCCTCCCCACCACCCTCACCCCCTCGCCCAGCCCCAGTGCCTCCAGAGTTGATTGTTACCAGGCCCGTCCCTGCTGCGTGTGGGCTCTGTGCCAGTCGCCAGCCCAGGGTGCTAGCTATGCACTGGGCTTGTGCTCGTCTTCTCCAAGTAGCCGGCCTTCCGGGAAATTTTTGTGAGGTGGCGGTGCTGCGGTGGCAGCAGGATTTGTCATGCGGAGGGTGGGGGAGGACGAAACTTGGAGGGTGGAAGGGGAATTTTTTGTAGGAAGAGGAAAGGATGTTTTTGGCACATCGTTGTCTCAGCAGGCTGGGTTGTATGAGAGATTTCCAAACTGGACAGAGCTGAAATGAACGGGCTGCCTCACTCCAGCGGCAGCGGTGTCTCTGGGCCTCAGTTTCCTTACCTGTACAACAGGAGTAATTGCACCTGCCCTGCCTTCTCTGGACTCTGGAGTGTGATGTGAGATAATGAATACTAAAAAGTTTTAGGCGAGAGTGAGTGATAAGATGAAGACCTCAGCATGGTGCCTGGTGCATACTAGGTGCCTAGGAAGGGACAGGTAGCCCTGTTACCATTGTTAGCTTTTTCTTTTTTAGCTAGAAAGGGCTCAGCCATGTGGGGTAAAGGCTTTGCCTCTGCATAGGCTGCAGCTGCAGAGTTGTTCAGAGTGGGGTGGGGGGGTGAAGGTAACAGCTGGCACTTAGTGGGCCCCTCATTAGGGGCTGTCCCTACCTCTTTTTCTCTGGAGGGGCCCAGGCACACTGGGAGGGTATGTGGAGTCCGGGGGAGGGGCTGTGGTGGCTGCGAGCCAGAGCCCAGACGGAGGTGGGCAGGGTAATTACAACTGACGTAAGTGGGAGGTCGGATCCCTGGCCATTGCCCAACCCCTGTGAGTAACTCAGGAGGCACTCGGGGTGGGGTGGGGGGGGGCTGGGGAGGGGCTTGCACTGCACTGTCTGTGTGGAGCTTGGGAACCAGGAAATCATACTCTTCTCCACTCTGGGGACCTGGGAAATCAGACCCTTTTCTCCAGCTCAGGGTCTGTGCCTCATCAAAATAAAAGCTGCAGTTGCAGGGGTGTGAAGAGGAAAGCACTTTGGGGAGACACTGCTTGATCCCCCTGTGCTGTGTCACCTGAGTCCTGGCTTTGCCCTCCCTGAGCCTCTGCAGAGAGAGACCAGGATGAATCTCCAATTCCTGAGTCCGGGTAACAGATGACATTGGGTGAATTAGATGGAGGCCCCCCAGGGCCTGGGGACCCCGTCTGCCTTTTTGGGGTTTGTGAAAGGAGGTGGTGGGGGAACCACAATGCCCCCTCCCCAAATGCCCCAAAGCTCCCACTTGCCAAGTTTTTTTTTGGTGGGCCATCAGCTCTTTCATTTACTCCTCACAGCCTCATTTATAGGCAAGGAAACGTGAGGGTCAGAGATGTTCAGTTCCTTGTCCGAGGTCACACCATTGTGACAGATGGAGGTAGGGTTCTGCCTGGTTCTGTGCTGGGTGCTTGAGCTGAGCTGGTGGGACACCCCCTCACCCCCTACACCCACGCCCAGCACAGGTGTCCCTTTCAGCCCATGCCCCAACCGGAGGACAGATTAAGGCAGAGGCGAAGCCTCTCGTGCACAGCCTTTTACAGCCCGCACACTTCATACTCACTGCAGCCCCACCCATTTGACAGGGGGCAAAACCAAGGTCAGGCAGAGGGGTGTGTGGCGGAACCAAGTCCACAGAGCTGAGCGCTCACCTGTGCCCTCCCTGTCCTGGGCCCAAGGCCCCAGTGTGGCGCTCCTTTCGGGCTCCTCAGAGGAATTTGAACAAAGCAGGGTGTGGTTGCCACTTGACCTTACAGGAACTTTACCTTTGAGTTTCCTGCCTTGCAGTGGGTGCCCTGCTTTGTCCTCCATGCCATCAGCCTGATGAGTTTCCTATGAGTGCGCGAGGCCCCAGGCCGCCACGGCCCTGTTGGCTTCCCCTGCCCTCCTCACCCACATGCCATCTTTGGCTGGGGTTAGAAGTTGGAAACAGCTGGCCCCGGGGCCAGTGGGCAGGGGCACGTTTGGTCTGCATGGTCCTGGTTTGCTGCCTCAAGCTACGGTTTCCTTGGGAGGCTTCTCCCCCCGCCCCCCGCCCATGTGCACGCGTGCGAGCACCTCCCGGCTGCCTGTCACGCAGCCCCTGCGGCCCAGCGGTGCACTGCGGCTGCAGGGGCACCGTCTGCCTCCGTGCCCTGCCTGCTCTGGCCGCTGCCATGCCTCCACCTTCTCATGCCCCTTTCCAGCTGTTGGAAAGACTGGAGGGTGGCGCCTTGGGGACTTCCTCTATCCCTGGCGTGACGCACAGGAAACTATCAGCCAGCCTGTGGCCCAGGGCCTGAAGGGAGCACAGCTCTCAGTTGCCTGTGTGGGGACCAAGCCAGGGCAGTGGGAGGCTTCCGGTGGGTGAGTCAGCGGGCACTGGGCGCTGACTCACCCGCTGGGCATGCCGTACTGCTGGCTGCTGCTCAAAGGGGTGACGGCCTGCTAGTCGGTGGGTGAGGAGACTGGGAGCCCCAGCCTCGCAGGCCAGCATCTGGCCCTAGCTGGGCACTGGAGGGAGCCCCCTTCTTGGACCCCACCCTCGGCTGGGACCACTCCTTTCCCCCAGGCAGGCCTCCTGGCCTGGTGTCCGACCCACCCCGGAACTTCCTCTGTTAGGCAAGGGCCCTGCTTCCTCTTGCTCGTGGAGCAGGAGCCTGCGGTGGCGCGGTCACTGCCCTCGCCTGGCCCGGGGTTCTCAGGCCCAGGTGCACTGCAGGGGCTGGGGAAGCTCAGCTGCAGGGGTGGCGCTGGGTCGGACTGGCAGGCCTGCGGAGGCGTGAAGTCCTCCTGCCAGCAAAGCCCAGCTCAGTCCCTTTTGCTGTGTGACGTGGGACAAGTCGTGTCTGGCACCTTCACCGCACTCTGTCAATGATTTCAGCCCCCTGGGCGTGACCCGCCTTTCTCACCTGCCGTATGGGAACTGGGACCCCACCTACCTGTCTTGCTGGCAGCCACAAGGATGCATGTAGACAAACTCATTTCTCTTTTGCAAGAGAGGCAGCAGGGACAGAGCCTGAGCTTCAGGGGGTGAATGGGCCTGCATTTGAATTCTGATTTGCTCCACTGCTTGCTCACAGGCCCTCTCTGATCCTGCCTCCTCTTTTGCAAAGTGGGAGGAAACTCTCGTCCCTTGCAGGTGGTGGTCAAGAGTGGACACAGTGCTTGTCAAAGGAATGGCATCTGTTGTTGTTGTCGTACAGCTGTGGTGATGGCGGCTGTTCAGTGCTGGAGGAGTGGGCAGGGCTGGGGCTTCTGATGACCGGCTAGTGAGCTCTGTGACATGAGGTCCTCAGGCCGCAGGGTCTTGCAGGGCCAGCCAGGATGGGCCCGGCTCTTTCTCCCCTGGCCCCAAGCTAGAGCTGGGGTCTCCATTGCCTCTTGGGCCTCCCTGGGGAGGGTCCATGCCGAGCAGAGAGGACTGGGCGCTGCAGGTCTGCCTCTCCCACAGCATCACGGGGAGGTGTGGGATGGGGGACGAGAGGGTGGGGACCCTCTCAGTCGGGAGAACTTCATGAGTGCCATGCACAGTGCCAGCTGAGGGGGCACGGGGGAGAGCGAGGAGTGACCCGACTCTTAAAGAGCTCCGCCTGCGGAGCACGAGGCCTTGGGAGTCGTGGTTCTGGAAGTCCAGACCCACGTGTCACCGTTTGGTGCCAGACGAAGAACACTGGGGAGCAGCGTCCCAGCCGGATGGGGCGATGATGAGGCAGGCCTGCCTTGAACTCAGCTCCTGACACTGCGGCTCGTGGCCTTGGGGCGTTGCCCATGTAAGTCAGGCCTGCCTGCTCGGCCACGGGAACCCCAAAAAGCTGCATATCAAGGGCATGAAGAGCAGACACAGGCAGCTTGGTGGGCCCCTCGCAGCTCACAGACACCGAGCCCGGGTCCACATCTAGTCCGGAGAGGGTCACCAGGCTCACCCTGACGTGGCTTCCCTCCCCCAACACCCCAGTCCCTGGCACAGGTCCCCGTCACCCTGCTTCTGCCCTGAGGGTCTCTGTGGGCTTTCCTGACTGAGCTGGCGTTCTGGGAGCCACTCGGCTTCTCTGACCCTCTCCCAGCGGGTCCCCTGTCCCCGGTGGCCTTGTGCCACCCTTCTGCCGAGTCCGGGCTGGCCGCGCCCTGCTGTGCCGACACACCGCGGCCCAGTCCCGCCCCGGCAGGTGGGGCCTTCTATTGATTTTTTAATTGTGCGTCTACCTTAGACACCACAAGAATATGTAGAAGG